TCCCTGAAAATTCCTTGAAATTTCATGCAATTGCATTGGAGCTCCATATATAATTCGACGTAATTCGAATTCGATGTAATTTTTTGAAACTTTTTATAAATTCTTTATGTAATATAACGAGCACTGAAATTTCATGTTGGGAATTTCGGTGTAATTCCATGTAATTATTGTTTTAGAATTCCTCCATGCAACTCATTCAGGATTTCATGAAATTCGATCGAAATTCCACTGAAATTTCATGTAATTTCTCGAAATTTCTTGTAATTCGAGAGGAACTAAAATTAAATGTCAATTCTATGGAAACTTCGCAAAAATTGCACACCATAAAATTCAATAGAATTCTTGGAATTTGTTTTTCTTCGGAATTACAAATATAAGATTTCATAAAATTCTTTGGAATTCCAGTAAAATTTCAAGTTATTCCATAGGAATTCCGCGGAAATTTTAGTCAATTCCATAGAGATTCCTTAGAATTTCACCAGAAGATTTTATGGAATTTCTTCGAAATTTGTGGTTTTTATTTTGTTTTTCCGCTTTTCTAGGCCGTTTTCGAGCGGGAAAACTGATTAAAAGTACGAGGCTTTGAGTTTTCTTCATTTTCTAGCAAAAATTTCCAGTTTTTAAATGCTATAATTAGCAAATCCCATTTGAAATTGCTTTTTTATTTGGTGTGACAACTTTCCATCAATTCAAGTGATAAATTGAATGGAAAAACGTAAATTCCTAGAAATTTATCTAAAGATTTCATAATACTTTTCCAAATTTCATCATAAAATTCTATGGAATTCCACCATAAAATTTAATGGAATTCTTGCACAAAAATTCCTCGGAACTACACTATGAGATTTCATGAAATTCTTCGGATTCCATTAAAATTTTCAAATTATTCTATGGGAATTTCGTGAAAATTTCAATTAATTTCATAGAGATTTCTATGAATTTCACCAGAAGATTTTATGGAATTCCTCGAAATTCCATTCAAATCGTAAATTTGAATGGAAAAACGGAAATTCCTAAAAAATTTTACTATAAGATTTTATAACATTTTTCCATATTTCATCATAGGATTTCATGGAATTGCACAATAAAATTCGATGGAATTCTTGAACCAAAATTCCTCGGAATTATTACTATGAAATTTCATGATAATTCTTCGGAACTCCACTAAATTTCAAGTTATTCCATAGGAATTCCGCGAAAATTTTTAGTAATTCCTTAGAAATTCCTTAACATTTCATCAGAAAAGTTTATGGAATTCTTGACAAATTTTTTTTCGGATTACAGTACGATTTAATGAAATTCCTCGGAATTCCACTAAAATTTCAATTTCAAAATTCTATAAAAAATTTTTTTTAACTTTACTGAAATTCTCCCAAAATTTCACCACTTAAATATCCTGGAATTCCCCAAAATCATAAAATTCTTCGGAGTTTCATTGACATTTCATGTAATTTCTTAAAAATTCCTCGGAATTCACTAAAATTTTATGAGAATATTTTGAAATTCTACGTTCACCGCCGAAGATTTCTCGGAAGTCCAATGAAACTTCAAGGAATTTTTCGAAATTTCATTTATTTTCATAAGAAATTTCACCAAAATTCTTTTTTGATAGCCAGGAATTTCTGGGAATATTAATGAAACTTCAAGTAATTTCTTGAAAATTCACCAAAATATATTGAAATTTCATGTCATTACATGGGAATTTTAAGGAATATCACCGAAATTCCATGTTTTTAGCCGGAAATTCCTCGGCATTCCACTGAAATTTTCTGGAATTTTACTAAAATTCAGTAAGAACTGGAATTTCATGTTGGGAATTTCGGTGGAAGTTCATGTTAATGTTTAGAATTCCTCCATGCGATTCATTTAGGATTCCGTGTAATTCGATCAAAATTTCCCTGAAATTTCATGTAATTCGAGAGGAATTAAAATTTAATATGAACTCTATGGAAACTCCGCAAAAATTTCACATGTAATTCCTTTTTCAGAATAACATAATTCTACAGAAATTCCTCGAAATTCCACTAAATTATGGAATTCTGAGAGACTTAACAGATTTTTGGTGATTCAAAGAATTTGAATGAAGAAAATATTTTTTAGGAATGTTAATGATTTTATGAGATTTTGCAGGATTTTTTTGGTTTTAATGCAATTTTGTTAGATTTTGTGCAATTTCAAGAGATTTTGTGGGATTTTGTTAAATTTTCAAGGATTTCAAAGATTTTTAGGGATTTTGAGTAGATTTTATGAGATTTTCTGGGATTTTGACCAACTTATACACAGATTTTGACCAGTTAACCACCCCTTGTAGGATAGTATTTTTACAATTTTTGCTGAATTTATGAGAGATTATTTAATAAAATATAGCTCGGGGCATTGTGCTCTTCAAGAATATATAATGAAAAAAGCTGGAAGCATGCAAAATTTCACATTTCTGACATTCAAATTTTGTTTTTGACCGTGGTTTCTAAAAATTCAGTCAAAACTGTACAATTTTTGTATTTACACCTTTCCTCTACCTGTAAAGGTAAAGGCTGTAGGTGGGGTATCAATATACATATAAAAAAAACACCCTGTACAAATAAGTGGATTATTGCGGAACTTATGGGTGGACCTCTGCGGGACGAGCGCAGCGAGTTCCGCAGCCATCTACTCACCAATATACTGTTGAACTGTTTAAGTAAGACATTCACCTGAAACGTGTAGTTTTCAAACTAATGATACTAACAGATTAGTATCGTAATTAAACAACAAATTGATAAATAGATGGCTGCGGAACTCGCTACGCTCGTCCCGCAGAGGTCCACCCATAAGTTCCGCAATAATTCACTCATTTGTACTTGAATAACTTGTCACATTATGTTACTAATTTGGTGAAGTAACATTATTAATTCCTGTTGAAAGGCAAATTGACAAAAAGTGAATAATCATAATCTTACAAATTTTGTCTTTATATAATAAGTTATTGTTCAAGTACAAATAAGTGGATTATTACGGAACTTATGGGTGGACCTCTGTGGGACGAGCGCAGCGAGTTCCGCAGCCATCTACTCACCAATATACTGTTGAACTATTCAAATAAGATACACACCTGAAACGTGTAATTTTTGAACTAATTAGAATAACTGACATTTGAGTGAGTCAGGCTAGTATCCTACTTGAACAACATAATAATGAATAAATGGCACCCATAAGTTCCGCAACAATCCACTCGTTTGTACTTGAATAACTTGTTACATTATGTTACTAGTTTGGTAAAGTAACATTACTTATTTGGACTTATAGTTCCAAAAATAAAATCGCGTTAAGCAATTTGGGGTGATTTATCAATTTTTTAATTTTTCTGCCTTTTTTCGTAGAATCCGGCTGCAAATTTTAGAATAATTTAGTGTATAGAGTTTGTAGGATCCCGAAGAATCATTAAGAGATACAAAATTTCAACATAAAAAAAATTGAAATTTCATCATTTTAGTACCTAGTAAGGTAGCTTCTGTTCTTATTTGTATATTGAATATCTTGAATCTTCATTTTGCAACATTCCTATTGCTAATTCTAGAAACATTGCTCAAGATTTTGTGTCTCTCCAATAGAGAGCGACATCATTGGTTATACTACTTCTCTCTAATAGATACATATTTAGTTAGATTGCCCATTAATTCACATTTATAATATTTTTTTTCTAAAAAAATTGGAATTAAAGAAGCTTTATTAATTTAAGTACTCATTATTGACAATATAATTATTATCTTATAAATACTTAAGGTGACATATTAGAAGCAAATTCTCCAATATTTTGAATTTAAAAATTATATAAGAATATTAGAAAATTCTAAAAAAAAAAACTAAGCCTATAGTAATAGTTATTTTCATTATTGCCAACTACAGATACAATAAACATAGACGACTATAAGTTAATCTGTTTGAAAAATGACGTCAGCTAATCTAATCTGCCCTTATCAGTGGATGACAGAATTACTTTGAATTAAATGGGTTAAAAAAAATATATAATTGTCAAGCAACATATACAAAGTTCAGTATAAATTGCAATAAAAAAACATACATCAAAATTATGTAAAACAGTAGGTATTCCAAGGTTGCATAAAACTTTTTAATTTAATTTAACATTCTTAATTAGAATTTTAGGCCGCAGAGTATTTAAAAGATTCCGCAACCGTAGTTTAATTTGAATTGAATTAATCTCGTTTCCGCGTAACAATAATTAAGATCTTAAAAGATAAATCCGGCGTAGGATAATTCTGGTTTTATGCTAATCGTGTATATGTCTTTTACCTGGGCCTCTTTCGGCCGAAAAATCCTTTAGCAGAAATATTTCTTTTATGACGTCATAAACATAAAACTTCGAAACGGATTTCTTTTATAACCTATATAACCTCAGTTTAAGCAAAAGGGGAGCTTTTATATATTGGCAGCTTGTGAATTGGGTATTTTTAATTTTTGGAACTATATAGTCTGTTTCTTTTTCGTTAGTGTGTGATGAAATAATTTGTTTATAATGAGGTTATATGGTATGCTTCTAACGAAAAAGAAACATAGTAAGTATATTAAAGTAACACATTTTAATTAATATCTATATTAATAATAACACAAACAATTTCGCATTTAAATAAAATATCATACCTATCTATACTCTTCTCTGCAACAAAATATATTTATTGGGAAAACGCGGCCATTAAATTTTATGCGCACCATAGCAGTCCCCAAGGGAAAATTATTCGCCATTAATATTTAATTCATATTTCGGCCCGATGCCGGTGGGTAATAATTGATTTAGTTTTATTGCACCGGAAAATAATTTGCCATTTTGCGAAACGATAAAGCGGTATTAATCATAGACCAAAACAACAAAATATTTAATCGCATTTTTCCTCTGATGGACAAAAACTGTGATTATAGAGAATGGAAATGTTCCTTTTATATATTAGCAATATGAGGAAGTTGAGGGGTTGTTATTTTGAAATGTTTCTCTTGTATGTTTTCAGTATGACGATGGTATCCACCCTGGTTATATGGACGGGGGCGCCACCGGTGGTATGTACGAGCCGCACGTGGCGCACAGGCCCAGCATCCCCGGGCTCCACCACTCGCCCCACCTGAACCACGCCATGCACCCTTACCACGCGAACCACGTGAACGCGGCCGCGAACCATGTGATGGGCGGCGCGGTGCCCGACGTCGGGAAACGAGACAAGGACGCGATTTATGGGTAAGAATTGATCACTAGTGATTCGGGTTTAGAAAGTAAAGTTTTCAGAACAGGTTCACTTGAACTATAATCCTATAATCTCAGAACTGGATTTAAACTTACTTTACCCTTACTAGCCCTTACTTTAAACTTATCTCATAAGAAGTGTGCGGAGTTCTTTTTCAAACAATTCTTGAAATTCTGTTGTCCATAAAGATTTGGTTCCTTTTTTCAATAATTCGTTTAGTGGTTCACGTAACATGTATATTTCTTTCATAAATTTATCATAATAGCTCATTGCTCCAAAATAGGAACATAGAGTGTTGATATCATGGGGCGGTAACATATTGCTGATAGCTTCAGTTTTTACTAGATCTTGTTTCAACTCACCTTCATTCATTCATCCCAAATACTTAATTTCTTTGACTCCAAATTTACAGTTTTGTAATAATTTTAAGTGAAAACCAAACTCTCCTATACACCTTAAAACAAGATTTGAATTTTGAAAATGTTCTTCCTCTGATTGGTCTGACAATTATATGTCATCGATATATGCCGTGGTTCCTTTCAGACCTGATAACTTGGTATCCATAACTTGTTGAAAAATGGCTGGGGCAACTTTTATACCAAATGGCATTCTATTGTATTGAAATATGCCGTAGTTCCTTTCAGACCTGATAACATGGTATCCATAACTTGTTGAAAAATGGCTGGGGCAACTTTTATACCAAATGGCATTCTATTGTATTGAAACAATCCATGATGAATCTTTATTGTTAATATTTTCTTGATTCTTCACTGATTTCAATTTGAGGGAGAGCATCAGATAGGTCAATGATACTGAAAATTGTAGGATTTTGTTATTTTGAAACCTGATAACATGGTATCTATAACATGTTGAAAAATGGCTGGGGCAACTTTTATACCAAATGGCATTCTATTCTATTGAAACAATCCATGATGAATCTTTATTGTTAAATATTTTCTTGATTCTTCACTCATTTCAATTTGAAGGAGAGCATCAGATAGGTTAATGATACTGAAAATTGTAGCATTTTGTGATTTTGAAACCTGATAACATGGTATCTACAACTTGTTGAAAAATGGCTGGGGCAACTTTTATACCAAATGGCATTCTATTGTATTGAAATATGCCGTAGTTCCTTTCAGACCTGATAACATGGTATCTATAACTTGTTGAAAAATGGCTGGGACAACTTTTATACCAAATAGCATTTTATTGTATTGAAACTATCCATGATGAATCTTTATTGTTAAATATTTTCTTGATTTTTCACTAATTTCAATTTGAAGGAGAGCATCAGATAGGTCAATGATACTGAAAATTGTAGGATTTTGTTATTTTGAAACCTGATAACATGGTATCTATAACTTGTTGAAAAATGGCTGGGGCAACTTTTATACCAAATGGCATTCTATTCTATTGAAACAATCCATGATGAATCTTTATTGTTAAATATTTTCTTGATTCTTCTCTCATTTCAATTTGAAGGAGAGCATCAGATAGGTCAATGATACTGAAAATTGTAGCATTTTGTGATTTTGAAACCTGATAACATGGTATCTATAACTTGTTGAAAAATGGCTGGGGCAACTTTTATACCAAATGGCATTCTATTGTATTGAAATATGCCGTAGTTCCTTTTAGACCTGATAACATGGTATCCATAACTTGTTGAAAAATGGCTGGGACAACTTTTATACCAAATGGCATTCTATTGTATTGAAATATGCCATAGTTCCTTTCAGACCTGATAACATGGTATCCATAACATGTTGAAAAATGGCTGGGGCAACTTTTATACCAAATGGCATTCTATTGTATTGAAACAATCCATGATGAATCTTTATTGTTAAATATTTTCTTGATTCTTCACTGATTTCAATTTGAAGGAGAGCATCAGATAGGTCAATGATACTGAAAATTGTAGCATTTTGTGATTTTGAAACCTGATAACATGGTATCTATACCTTGTTGAAAAATGGCTGGGGCAACTTTTATACCAAATGGCATTCTATTGTATTGAAATATGCCGTAGTTCCTTTCAGACCTGATAACATGGTATCCATAACTTGTTGAAAAATGGCTGGGGCAACTTTTATACCAAATGGCATTCTATTGTATTGAAACAATCCATGATGAGTGTTTATTGTTAAAATATTTTCTTGATTCTTTATTGATTTCAATTTGAAGGAGAACATCAGAAAGGTCAATGATACTGAAAATTTTATCTAGCATTTTGTGATTTTGAAACCTGATAACATGGTATCCATAACTTGTTGAAAAATGGCTGGGGTAACTTTTATACCAAATGGTATTCTATTGTATTGAAATATGCCGTAGTTCCTTTCAGACCTGATAACATGGTATCCATAACTTGTTGAAAAATGGCTGGGGCAACTTTTATCCTAAATAGCATTCTATTGTATTGAAACTATCCATGATGAATCTTTATTGTTAAATATTTTTTTAATTCTTCACTGATTTCAATTTGAAGGAAAGCATCAGGTAGGTCAATGATACTGAAAATTGTAGCATTTTGTGATTTTAAAACCTGATAACATGGTATCGATAACTTGGTGAAAAATGGCTGGGGCAACTTTTATACCAAATGGCATTCTATTGTATTGAAACAATCCATGATGAATCTTTATTGTTAAATATTTTCTTGATTCTTCACTGATTTCAATTTGAAGGAGAGCATCAGATAGGTCAATGATACTGAAAATTGTAGCATTTTGTGATTTTGAAACCTGATAACATGGTATCTATAACTTGTTGAAAAATGGCTGGGGCAACTTTTATACCAAATGGCATTCTATTGTATTGAAACATTCCATGATGAGTGTTTATTGTTAAAATATTTTCTTGATTCTTTATTGATTTCAATTTGAAGGAGAACATCAGAAAGGTCAATGATACTGAAAATTATATCTAGCATTTTGTGATTTTGAAACCTGATAACATGGTATCCATAACTTGTTGAAAAATGGCTGGGGTAACTTTTATCCTAAATAGCATTCTATTGTATTGAAACTATCCATGATGAATCTTTATTGTTAAATATTTTTTTAATTCTTCACTGATTTCAATTTGAAGGAAAGCATCAGGTAGGTCAATGATACTGAAAATTGTAGCATTTTGTGATTTTAAAACCTGATAACATGGTATCTATAACTTGGTGAAAAATGGCTGGGGCAACTTTTATACCAAATGACATTCTATTGTATTGAAACAATCCATGATGAATCTTTATTGTTAAATATTTTCTTGATTCTTCACTGATTTCAATTTGAGGGAGAGCATCAGATAGGTCAATGATACTGAAAATTGTAGCATTTTGTGATTTTGAAACCTGATAACATGGTATCTATACCTTGTTGAAAAATGGCTGGGGCAACTTTTATACCAAATGACATTCTATTGTATTGAAATATGCCGTAGTTCCTTTCAGACTTGATAACATGGTATCCATAACTTGTTGAAAAATGGCTGGGGCAACTTTTATACCAAATGGCATTCTATTGTATTGAAACAATCCATGATGAGTGTTTATTATTAAATATTTTCTTGATTCTTTACTAATATCAATTTGAAGGAGAACATCAGAAAAGTCAATGATACTGAAAATTATATCTAGCATTTTGTGATTTTGAAACCTGATAACATGGTATCCATAACTTGTTGAAAAATGGCTGGGGTAACTTTTATACCAAATGGTATTCTATTGTATTGAAATATGCCGTAGTTCCTTTCAGACCTGATAACATGGTATCCATAACTTGTTGAAAAATGGCTGGGGCAACTTTTATACCAAATGGTATTCTATTGTATTGAAACTATCCATGATGAGTGTTTATTGTTAAATATTCTCTTGATTCTTCACTGATTTCAATTTGAAGGAGAGCATCAGATAGGTCAATGATACTGAAAATTGTAGCATTTTGTGATTTTGAAACCTGATAACATGGTATCTATAACTTGTTGAAAAATGGCTGGGGCAACTTTTATACCCAATGGCATTCTATTGTATTGAAATATGCCGTAGTTCCTTTCAGACCTGATAACATGGTATCCATAACTTGTTGAAAAATGGCTGGGGCAACTTTTATACCAAATGGCATTCTATGTATTGAAACAATCCATGATGAGTGTTTATTGTTAAATATTTTCTTGATTTTTTACTGATTTCAATTTGAAGGAGAGCATCATCAAGGTTAATAATAATAAAAATTGTAGCATTTTAAAACTTTGAAAAAATTTCTTCCACTGTTGGAAAATGGTAATGATGTAGTAGAAGTACTTATTAAGACCAACAGAGTAATCGCTTTATATTCGGAAATCTCTGTTTTGTTTTTATTGAACTTCATGCATTGGTCTCTTGTGTGGAAAATTGAAATTTGTTACCAAACAACTGGGTTAGTTTGTCCAGAGTTTCACTAAAGGTTAAATCTTAGGTGAAATGAAATTGACATACCTTTCATGGATTTGGGACTCTAATTTTCTTAGGAGAAGTCTTACTTCTGCAGAGTCTTAAATATTTTTTGTATCTTGTTTGAAAAGGCTTTGATATCTTTTGTATCAAAAGTGCTCCTTGTTTCCTGATCATAATGAAATTCTGTGATACTATTACTCAGGGTTTCCATCCGAAACTCTTCATTTGATTTGGCCAAATTTTGAGTTAAATTTTGGAAATTTGATGAAAACTGACCCAAGAAATCTTGTTTTTTTAGGAAAGCTGTGAGAACTTCTGTCATTTGTTCCATGTTCATGATCCTACAGACTGCGCCAAATTGTTTTAGTTTGGATTAACTACAACAATATTTGTTTTTGAAAAGATTTTATTAAATTCAACAATGATCATCAAGATGACAAAAATCAAACTTAACTTGCTGGTTAACGTATTATTTCAGGTATGTCCTGGTACTGTTTCCTAACAAAAGGTAAATGACATCTCAAAACAGAAATAAATTGAAAGACAGATGTCCAAATTATTATT